GCCCATTTAGAGCCGGTCCCCGCGGTCAAATAATCATACTTGTGGGCGGGTGTCCACACCCGAGGGGTCTGTCCCGGGTCTGACAGAACTTGAGGTGAACCCCTCGGGTGTGGTCTGCACCCCTCGGGTCGCATTTCATACACCCATCGGGTCTGGAATCATCCTCGGGGCTCAATTCTTTCAGCTGGGATCTCTTGTCTCAGGTCAGCAGTGCAGAGGCTGTCACAGTGTATTGTATATACATGACTACATATGACATATTATTGCGCTGAAAAGCCTTCATGACCTAGTTCCTGGAGCTGCCCTGCTCGTTCACTGCTGATTCATGATCGACAGGATCCCCACCGTATTGCTGCCGGTCAGCATAATCAGCACCTCGGATGTATGCCTCTCTGTGCGCAGTGATATTGGGATACATGTTTTGCACGCTGAGGGCCTGTGACACCGCCGGTGTCCTGAGTAAGCCTGTCGTAATGCCGCGTACATGCTGTATTTCCTCGCTTCGGAGCTGCGAGCTGTGTATGAGCCTGGCCAGGGTAAGCAATGAGCGGGCGTCATGTTGGGCCCCCTGATGTAGGCTGTGTTAGAGCAGGTGTATGTTTGATACCTGGTAATATACTCACATGGTCTGAGCTACGTGCACGATCTTGAAGCCAATTGGAGAATGTAATATCATCTATGGGACTGAATGAGCTCAGAGGCGCAAATAAAATGATATCAGTGGAAAGCCCACCTGCACGAGATGCAAACCCTTCAGGAACAGAGGGCTGCACGACATACGAGCACAGCTGCCCGTACGATAGCACATTGATCTCATAAGGCTGGCGGTTATCCGGGCGCTCAGATGCACGCTGTGTGTTGATTGCGTCTTGCTCAGGAGAAGATCGCTGTTCTGATATGTTGCATGAGCTCTCTCAGCATTCACAATAAGATACAGCCCGGTTCATAAGCGCTACTGACCTGATGGTTCTTCCTCAACGTTCAGATCATGCCCATGTACAGGCACGTGAACATCCGCAGAACTGGCATTTCTGCCTTCAACTATGTAACGTTAACGACACCTGCCCAGTGATCATACATATAACGTACTGGTCCCAGTCATTACATGATCGGAATCATCTGAATCTGGAAAGGGGAGTATGCGAGTACTGTCACACTCATCATCGGACGATGCATGAGATCTGGGCACTAAGAAAGCCTGCGAGATGAATAAGTCAAGCCAATACAACTGATAATCAAGGTAAGCTGGGACATACCCGAGATTGGGAGTGCATCACTATGGCTTCACGCACAAGCGAACGTATGCAGGAGTTGACCTAAACAATGGCAGAAGGCAAGTCGAAGTGGATGTCATGATTCGCGCTCATCACACGTTATCGATTGACGGAGCAGGGCATTCATGTCTGCCACGGCAATACCCGGTCGTCGTTGTCATACCCGGCGGGCATGAGATCAGACCCGCCGGGTCTGATCTCATACCCGCCGGGTATGGACACCATCTGGACGAGTACCTGAGCGCAAAGACGGAGTAGACCAACGCTGACCGTAATCTAACAGACGGTACGTTTTAAATAACAGATAAATGATGATTGCCATGGCTCTGAGAGTACCAAGCGGTCTGTCCCAATCACCCGCACTCGCCAACTGCTTACCTGGCCGAGATTAGATTCGATCTGATCTGATCTTTATCTAATCTTTGTTATCTAGCACCAATATCAATGCTAAGATGGGATTGCGATTAGATTGTGATCACAATCATAATCGCAATCCATCGATGGGTGTGTCATACCCGCCGGGTCAGCGGGAAGCGCGCCCGCCGGGGCCCGGGCCGGGTTTGAACACGCGCGCACCCGGGAGCCAATCACACTCCAAGTCGAAAACTGCACGCGCTTGCCTTGCGCCGCGCGCGCCCTTTGCGATTTGCTTTTCGACCACCATCCTGTTGACCTCCGCGCACTTCTCGTCCGCACCCACCGCCCACCACCGCCACAAAATGTCATCTATTTACTCGACAACCGACACTGAGGCTATCTTCTCTGGCTGGGGTCGTTCTGGCGACACTATAGACGCTGACGCGCTCATGGCCGACCTCAAGCAACACGCGCGGCTGCACCGCGACGATCCCAGGTTCATCCCGGGTATTATCGCGCGGTTCCAGGTCGCGATCGACGTGTTTAGGCGCCACCAGACGGAGTATCCGTTCACTGACGCTGCCGTCGAGACTGTGTGGTCGTTAATGAAGGTTGAATTGGTGCGTTAGCTATCTGCGTCACCGCGCATTCAAGGGTATGTACTTACCGCATCATGTAGCGTTTTGCGACCACGTATATCGTCGACCACGGCCCATTTTCGCGCTGGTACCGGCCCATCATCGACGAGCGTACCGCTACGCGCGCAAACTCTCTCGCCACCATGATGCGCGTTCTCTTGACGCCTCCTGCGGGCTTTCCCGGCCCAAGTCAAGCTGATCCAGCGTGGTTCATTGGCCCAACGCGCTGGTTCTACGCTTACCGTGCGTTTCATGATCTTACATATTCCGACAGGTGCTGATATTCGTTAGCTGCCATTGCGAGTTCGCCCAAGAAGACGCTTCCCACCCGTCGCGTCATCATGGACCTCTTCCAGCCGCTCGTTCAGCAGGAGCTGGCGCGCGCGCAGCACGAGGAAGAAGATCGACAACGTCAGCGGGCAGCGCTTGAGGCCCAACTTCGCGCTTTGGATGCTGGCCGCCCGGGCGCGCCGCACCCGCCGGGTGCAGCGCACCCGACGGGTACACAGCAGGCTGCAGGAGGTCCAGGTGGAGGGAAATCGGCGAAGGGGAAGGGCAAGGGGAAGGCAAAGGCGAGGGAGGAGGACGAGGAGGAGTGGGTTGATGACGGAGGTGCGGAAGAGGATGGCGACGGAGAGGTAGAGGTCGTGGAGACGCCACCCAAGCCTGTAAAGCCGAGGAGGAAGACCGGTGGTGCTCGGAAGAAGGCAGCGAAGAAGGAGAGGAAGGATACCGGCTTCCGCGCCAACGCGTGGGGTCTCGCGGGCTCTGTCAGCCGTGAGAACATCAACTTCGCGCGGAGCGAGATGCAGATTTTGGCTCTCAAGCCGGCGAACGGATTCCTCGACGACGCGGACGCCTGGAGCATCAAGGAGCTGCATGGGATTGACTCGCGTACAGCTCTACAAAGCGACGTACGTACTTACGCCATCATGCGTCCCGCTCCGCGTACTTACCGTGTTTGTTAGCCTCCCTGCCAGAACTGCGTCAAGCGCGAAGAGCCCTGCTGGTACCGCGGGTACTCATCATGCCTAAACTGCAACGTGCACAATACGCGTTGCGATGGGCTCCATATTACCTTCCCCAACGAGGAGGACGGGCCCGAGATGTATCGCCCTGACTTGGAGATTCGAGAGCGCAAAATGGAGGAGTTGATGGAGGCTAGCTTTGTCAGTAGGGCGCAGCGCGATGATTGGTTCGATGAGGACTGTACGTCTTCAGCCATCTTTCCGCCAAACACTCACTGACATCTTTCTCACTAGACCGCTCCCATCCGAAGGCAACGGGACGCGCGCAAGGTACGACATCCGCCACGCCCGCGCCAACCGCCAGCTCCGTTCAGTTCGCTACGCCTGCACCGCCCGAACGCGCCCAGTCCTCGCTTCCGCACGCCCGCTTCGCCGAATCCGAGTCCGACGTCGATCAGCAACCCTACCGCGCCACACATGGCCTCCTCGATCATCAGTCCGAGTCCGACAGCGTCGCGCAGGTGTCCTACGACGAGCCTATGGCGGTGGACGCGCCTCGCAAGCGCGGGCGATCATCCTCAACATTCACCTCACCCTCCGCGCCGCCAGATGCACCGCCTCCGAAGAAAGCGAATACGGGAGCGCACCACGTTGGACAAGGATCGTACCCGCCACCCAACGTGTCTGGCGTCACGCCCGCCGGGTCGGGCGTCGCGCCCGCCGGGTCGGTTCATCAGCTGGATCCTCGCGTTGTCCTGCCTGGCTCCGCGTCGGAGTGGGCGCCACGGCCACCCGCGCACGCGTCGCAGCAGCCCCCAACGTCCGATCCATCCGTTCAGGCGCAACTTCTTGCCATGAACGAGCGGCTGACGAAGGTGGAGGAGACCATGGCCAAACTCGTCGCCAGCAACGAGTCCATGGAGGCCACGACCAAGGACCTCAACACCATGACGAGGGTAAACTGGAAGAACGTCATGGAGTGGCTGCGCGCGAACGGGCAGGGCGTCAAGTTGTACAAGCCGGGCGACAAAATGCCTGAGTGGTCTGGCAAGATCAAGACGGCGCCCGCGGCTACTGGACACCAGGCGGGCGGCTCGCAGATGTCGGGCGGCTCGGTGGCGTCATCCACAACGTTGCCGCCCGCGTTCACGCCTCCTCTTCAGTCCCAGTCTGCCTCTGCGGGCCCTCCACCGCTCAACACCGCGTCTGGACCGTCGCCTCAGCAGCCTCAGCAGGTCGCGTCCGCCTCGCTTGCGTCTGGACAGGCTCACACGCCCGCGCCAACATCCGCACCCACGCCCACAACGGTTTCAGCCTCCATGGCGTCCGCTCTTCCCCCGCCACAAGCGCCACTTCCACCCACACCGTTGTCCGCGTCTGTGGCGGCCGCCGTACCCCTGCCCGACACGCGCACGTCGTCGCCCTCTGCGTTGGCGACGTCTGGCGTGCAGCCACACGTCCCCGCGCTCCCTCAGCACCATCCTCAGCCCGAAGTTCATCAGGCTGCAGCTGCGAACCCGGCGGGCGTGTTGTTTGCACCCGGCGGGGTTGAGAACGTGCCCGGCGGGTACCAAGCGCCTACCACGGCTCCCGTTCAACTTCTTCCACCTCCTGCTGAGCCTCCGCGCGCGTACTCGCCCGCAGGATCCCATCTCGCGCCCCAGACGCTGTTCCAGCCGCCCGCGCCCGCCACGAACCTCGCCTCGCCTCGCCTCGCTGCACCTCCCATGGCCAAGTCCACCAGCCTCCAGCCGCCCAAGCCACTAGCGTCGGCTCCCGTGATCACACGGTCAAGCAGTGCAGGCGCGTCGGATCCGCGCTCCTCCGGATACGCTATCCCGCCCGTTCCGTCCACGCCGCTCGTCCAGCCGCTCAACCCAATTGGGGGCCCGCCCTGGACGCCTGGAGAGACGGATATGTGGAATCATATCCGCAAGGACTGGAATGAAGGTCCGGCCGCCGCGTATTCGAGCGAGATGGACTCGCCTCAAGCTCTACGACTCCCTCCGCGCACAGAGACGCAGCGCAACGCCCCGGACGTCAGCATGGACGAGATCAGGGCCCCCCATCCGTTCCCCAATTCCGATGAGGAGGATCCTGCGAGCGGTAGCGTGCCGGTCGCGCCGTTCCCTGATTCGGACGATGAATCAGGCAAGCCCAGGTCGTTTCCTGCATCGGATGAGGGGTCTGACGACGGTGTTCAACAGGAGCGCACGCGTCCACCTCCACGTAAACGAGCCGCGCGCAGGCAGGTCTCCGAATCCGAGGAGGACGATGAGGAGGAGGATGAGGACGAGGGCGATGAAGATAGCGAGGAAGACGGCGATGGTGATGGGACGCCAGAGCAGGAACCGGCTGCTACCAAAGGGCGACAGCTTCGTAACCGTCAGGGAGGCAAGGCGGTCACGGAGAAGGCGCAGAAGGCGCAGAAGGCTGGCGGATCGGCCGCAACGAGCTCGGCGCAGGGCGGATCCAAAGCGGGCGGAGGAAGAGGAAAGGCCGCGCCTAAACCCGTTGCGGTGAGGAAGCCCGCGGCCAGAGGGCGCGGAGGTCGCCGTAAGTAGTATGTTCCTCATCATGTTATTCTTGCTCGGATCTGTGTCACCCTGCGCGTTCAGCTGCTGTATTCGTTTGGATCTCTCGCGTTCGTGTATATCTTGCGTTTCTTGATATCTCCTGACGCTCAGCACATCGCATATCCCCCCATCGCAATATTCTACACCACGGCTTCTTTATCTTTAATCTGTATACATTTTTACGTGCTGAGCAATGTATTTTTACTGCTTCCATTCACCCGTAACGTGCCCAAACTTTGGCGCCTGCCCTGGGCAGTATCTGAACGCCCACGTACACGTTAGTATGGGTATTCCACACCATGTCATGGCTCGGGTGTCGTTTGAGACCCGGCGGGCGTCGCTGTACACCCGGCGGGTACGTACGAAGCCCGCCGGGTATCGATTCAGACTCGGCGGGCATTGACGTCTGGCACTGACCAGTTCATGTCACAATTCGATCTTGTGCATACGTACAGGGCTTATACGCCATAAATATCATAATTACAAGTACTCTGTCTTCAGCCCTGGAGGTATGACATTCTCGTGGCACTCGTTGAATCGTGCCTTGGCATAAGCTGCCATGTCAGACCAATGACCGGCATTCTCAAACGCCATTGCTTCGTGAGCACGCTTGCCCGCCATGTTCTTTGCCTTTCGCATCCAGCCAGATGCCAAGCTGCGATAGCCAAGATAGCACATCTGCATTTCGAATGTCAGGATGATGAGCTCCTCGCGACACCGGGTCAATGAGCATTTAGCATTGATCCAGCGCACTCGGAAGACTACAATTCGACATCAGTCTTGACATACACTAACTCATGAATACACGTACAGTCTGCGATGAACTCCTCATCCTTTTGCCGCGTCTGCTCCACACTCTCCGTCGCATCCATTCCCACCATACGCCAAAACCAAGGTAGTTTGAAACCAGAGACAGTGCCTGTTGTGCTGTACGTCTTCGTGGAACACACAAGATCCTTTGCAGTCAAAACACGATACTTCTCGCGCATCATGTCGAACCGGACCTTGGTCTCGGGACTTGTATCCCACGCGAGGCTCATGAGCTTCTCCCGACAGATGTTGTAGATCTGGGCGTGAACGCGAACTGCCTTGCCTTGCTTTTGAGCGTCGGCATATGCAACGTTTAGCTGATGGTAGCCTTGATTACCGTTGCCATTGCGCGACCGGATTCGTTGGAGGTAGGTGTTCGCCTGATCGACGATGAGTGTGCGAATGTGGCCAAGGGTTTCGTTCATTCGTGCCAGCAGGACGCCCGTTTCTATCTCCATAGCATGGCGTCTGATATCGCAATCGTCGTCGTCAGTCGGATTGACGTGCATGGCCCTCCAGTTGCTACTGCGAGACGATGGCAGATCGACTGCCCGAAACTCGGCACCAGTTCGTAGTACCCGGGACCCGGCGGGTGCATCATCGCCTCGACGACTGGCAGCCCCAGGCTGAGCTTCCTCGGTGTCGTCCCACTCGTCCTCTTGCAACAGCTTTGTTAGTTTCACGGTCGTCAAGGTGCCATGCCCACGATATGAGCCAAGCGCGGCCTCCATGGCTGCATTGCACTTGTTCACACGGTTGTGTATCTTTGTGCGGGTTGATGCGATGTTGCGTCTCTCTGAAGCAGCCACAGCTTGCCTGTCGAGTGCTTGTAGCTTCAGTCTGGATGATGTGAGCATTCAAGTCTAAGTCAGAGATAGTGATCGACCTACTGATCAACGACAAGGTCCAGACTGTCAATGACAGCTTTCACCAGACCCCTCCCCTCTGATCCAGCGGCCTCTTCCTCCAAAAGTTTGAGCTCGGCGTCCTTTCGCGAGGGTACTGTGAAAGCAAGTTAGGAGTACTCGCGAGATGGCGATGTCAGAACAGCTACCTTGCACAAGAGTCTGTTTGAAAAAGCGATCCCCAGCACTGGGATCGTTGATTCGATCACGCTCGAACGCTTGTCTATCCTCTTCCCACTGTACGACATTCTCAGGGGAAGTGCACAGTGAGAGCTGCTCGACCAGCCTTGCGCGCTCCCTTTCTTCAGCAAAGTACTTGTTGAACTTTTTCACCAAAGTATCAGCTATCTGCGCTCAGCATTAGGTATGGCATGATTGCTGATGGCACGTACCCATCGCCAGGTTCTTGCGATGATTGCTGTCTGACTCGAACATTGAGATGACCTCCTCACGATTGGCAAGCGACATTCCACGGCAGGACTGAAGGATCTGGTTGAGCACGCTCCAGAGCGTCTCAAGAATCTCGCCATCCACAATACCCGTCTGGCGTGAATAGAGATTGGACCATCGTCCGTAACACTCGAAGACATGCCCATAGATGTGCCACACCCCGACGCTACCCAGAACCTCCCTGAACTGAGGCCATGTCATGTTAGGCGAGCGATTAAAGCGTTCCTTGAGGTGGATGCCATAGCGGCACCAGATATCATAGAAGAGCTGAAGACGGTCCACGAGCTCGACGTCCGTGTTGAGCTTGAAGGTGTTGTTAAGAGCGACATCCGCTGGGCCAGATCTGAAAGATGCATATCAGCATGTCTCTCGAAGACCCGAGACCCGCCGGGCGCACGCCGGGTATATCCCGGGTATGACCCGGGTGCGCCTCGGGCGTACTTACGCTTCGCCCAAGTTATAATTGCATGTTCCACCAGCCAGAAACTGTCCGTGGCGAGCGCAAGCCCATGCGCCAATGCCCTTGATGTCGGTAACCTTGTCGCGTGTTTTTCCAGTTAACTGCGCTGCAACGTGGTTATTGCATGGTTTGTCGTTCGCAAACTAGATGTCATTTAGTCGGGCGCAGACAGCAAACAGGTTCTTAACGCACCAAATGCTCAGCCTCCTTGCGAAGCTGCTTATCGGTTTTCATTGACGCTAGATCCCTTTTGATGCCCTCCGGATGCTGAAATGCGCCGGTCCCTGGGAAGATTGGTACATTGTTACCGGGCTGGCGCGAGACGGTATGCTCGCCACTGAAGTTTCCATCATGAACGTATGAGTGGAAAATGGCCCATTTATGGATATGGCCCTTGTATCCGCGTGGCAGGTTTTTTTTTGATGCGCATACCACACAGCGATGAAACAGACTGCCGGGAGGTGGAGGCTGCCAGTTTTCGAGCGGCTGGTGCGCAAAACCGTGCGTAATCAAGTTGTCAATGACGGTCCACTCGCGCATGACACGTAGGCCTTCCAAGTACCGATCCTGTTGGATGTTTACGATGTTGTAACGTGCGCAGATAGTACGGGGACATACTGCAACGGTGGATGGATGAAGAGGTGAAGTGTTGCGTCTCAGACGACGCATCAGTGCCTGAGGAGTGACTTTACACTCCAGGCGATCAATCTGAAAGTAGGACAGCGCCTCTAGCGTGAAGCACGTCCCAGGGTTTGAGGGTGTGGCAGGAATGAGGCCGCCCAGACGGATTAACTGCTCGTCGATTGCCATACTGGCCCCAGTCCCCGCACATTTGCAAACTGCAACGCCGATCTGGTGAATGTCGGTCTTGTCGACAATGACCATGACTGGTAAACCACGCGTATCCCTCCGTATTCTGGCCTGCCTGCCCCTCGCCCGTGCCTCACCCTCAGGAAGTCCTTCATCCCTGCCCATAAAGCCGTCCTCTCCGCCATTTTCCTGACCATCAGCGTCTCCCTCATCACCCTCCGTCTCCCGAGCATCGCTAGGCAGCAGGTCTTCGTCCGGATCCTGGGACATGAATGGAGACCCGCCGGATGCAACATCCGGACTCGCAGTGTCCGGACTGGCGGTATCGGGGAAGTTTGTGGGCTGCTCTGCATTTTCGGGACGACCGAATCGATGTCCTATGCCGTACGAAGGAGGTGGGTCCTTGTCGATTCCGGCAGGAAGGGGGAACTCGCCCTGGGTGTAACCAGGACAGAGGTCATCACCGGATGCAACTGGGCAAAGCTGAATAAAGACACCTGCGTCCCGTAGCCAGGCCTCGACGTATTTGGGACCGGATAGGTAGCGCACGCGATGAAAGGGATTTGACATGTGGCGTTTTCGCAAACAGCCAGTGCAGAGATCACGATGACGCTGACAGCTGTCACATCTCCATCTGGCAGTTCCTGCTACGCCACATTCGTTGCACACGAGTGAAGGAGGTGGCGGGCCACGACGCTCAATGACGCAGTGCGCGTACCGGATGGCTGTCTTGCCACGCGCAAATTCTCTCAGCTGCTCAACGTTGGTCTTTATGCTTGTGTGAGTTTGATTGATGAGTTGTGAACAACACGCAACTCACATTGCGCGCGGCAGGATCGATCTCGTCGTCGTAGTCCTCATGGCTGGGAGGTGGGGGAGCAGGCATGCCATCAAAGGTCGCCATTGTATCGTCGTGCATATGCATCATCAAGTTGGTGTCAGCACCAATGGGCCCCGTAAACGTGACGCCCGCAGGCGTATGGGTTGGTGGATGGATGAATGTCTGATTGGTCATGCCTGGAGGCGGAAGGCGAGAGGGCAGAGATGATGTTCGGGACATAGACTGGGCTGATTGATGCGAGCGAGCGTTACTGGGAACTGTATCTTTGCCGCGAAGGGGGTCGCCTTGACGCATAATAGACTGGAACGTATTGCGAACACGCTTAGGCTTTTCCCGGACGCCTCCCTCATCACCAGGAATTGGTTCTAATGCCCGCTTCCCAGATCTATTTCTCGAAGACGATGCATTGGCTGCCCGAGTGTTGTTTGTTACAGAGTATGTATAGTTTGTAGGAGCGGAATTGTCCATGATGGAAGTCGACGGACAACACGAGGAACACATGCAGAATGATATCCACGAGGGACCCACGATGCTCAGCATCCGGGCAAACCCGGTTGACAAGCGACACCCGGCGGTTCTCAAACAATACCCGGCGGGCCATAAGTTTTGAACCCGGCGGGTCTGCACCGTACTTGCAGCATAGTCGGTAACCAGCCTATGTAGGGTGACGACCTTGAATTCAACAAAGCTCTCAAGCCACCGACGAGCGGGGTATGCAGCGCAAGGGCCGAGCCAAACACGGGTGAATGATGACGGACTATCCTCGTGCATTGGCACATGCGGCTTGTGCAAGATCAGCATGCCCATATCCTGACCCGAACCATGACCACACCCCCGATGGCCGAGTCCTCAACTTCTGTTCCACCTGTAGATGATGACTGGGTTGACGAAGACGACGACGAGCCTGACACCACTGTATATGACAAGACTTATGGCGAGAAAGCCGCTTTTCACTTGAGCACGAGGCAGCTCAAAGTGGGTCAAATCCGCACCCTGCAGCCCAAAGTTCCCGATTACTTGCGCACGCAGGGCTCCGAGCGTACGTCGTTTGTCCAGAAGGTACGGAAGATGATGGTGATAGTATTGAAACAACTCTCATCTGTATCCAAGGCGTTTCAGGAGATCTGGGATGGCGATGCCGTCGACTGGGCGGCCCCGAGTACGTGGCCCAAGAGACGCGACTCGCAGTTCCGTCTTACCTATCAGGTGGGTATATATGAATGGCGGGCGCACCAGATCATGCGTGTCTGGGTGGAACTGACTCAACATGCTTTACAGGCGGTTCGGAACTTCTTCTCCGAGCGTGGGCGCGTTCGGGATGTTGTTGTCAAGCTACCTGGCAAAGGTCGATCAAAGACTTCATGGACCGCAATATCCGTTGTCAATCAGGTCTACCGCTCAGCAATTCATGACCTCGTGTTCGACGTCTCGGGCCTCAAGCCACAGAAGAAAGGGGAGAAAGAACCGAGCCCGGGGTGGTTGACAGAGTATAACAAAGCATGCGTGGCCATTTATCACACCTTAAGTGCGGATGAGCGTGCAGAGATGGAGCAGCTGGCTATGCAGTGGACGAGGACTGGGATTCCCCTTTACATGAAGAAGAAGTGTGTTCATCAGTCATCTCCACATGATACATGTCTAACGAGCATGCAGAAACTACACGCGTTCCTGTAAAAAGTTTCTGCTCAATGTGGCCGACACCTGTTTGAAGCGCTACGGTATCTATCCGTTCTTCTTCATCGTTGGAGAGCCCGGGTCGGATATCAAGGCCAATATGTGCGCCTGTTTGATCTGGTCTGCTACTCGGCGCATCTGATACAGCCTATAGCATGGATTTTGGGCGCGAGCTCGGTCTCGGCAATCAACGCTTTGAGGACGATACCACGAGCAATACCCTTGAGCGCCTGCAGCTGTTTGTGAAGCGGAATGCTGGTGAGTGCGTTGTTGCCTTCGGCACCCGCCGGGTCTGCGTCACTATCAGCTCGCCCGACGGGTGTGAGCGCACATACCCGCCGGGTATGTGCTCACATACCCGGCATGTGGACTTTACTTTCGACACACTGTGTGGTGGCGCCTTTCCAATGGTTCATCACTGATCCTCTGCGCACTCAGGGATGCAAAACGTACAAGAGCAGCCCGCGCGCAAGGTCACCGCAAAGTTTAAAGACATCACCTCATATTCTATCCCGAATGAGCGTCTAGTTGGCCATGACGAGCTCAAGATCGACACGTCAGACTTTGTGTTCAATGCCCTTGCTTCCGAGGCAAAGTCCGTCCTGTATAACATGTTTCGCTATGCGCATGGTCTGTTGTTCTGCGCTCATTGTTCTAAGTGGGATCCTGATCACTCTATTCACAGCCAATATCTCCGATCGGCCGCCAGCACAGCTCGATGTGCCCTGGCTTGCAATCAAACAAGGCCAGCTTCTGGACAACAAGAAATACTTCCCACCGGACTGGGTACACAACGACGTTACACAGGCACCCGGAGCGCGCTGCCTCGAGTTTATTCACCGCTTGCGCGACATAGGCGACCTGTGCTTCCATCATTGGCTTGTTCGCAATGGCGCGCCTCGGGAGCCGGTAGAGCATAAGTACCGTTGGTGGTATTCCGAAAATGTCAACAGCAACGCGCCAGTGACTACGCCAGCAGAGGAGGAAGCACGCGCGCGCGCACTAGCTGCTCGTCCGGTATACACAGCAACTGAGGCCACTGCTCGTAACAATCTGCCACCCACGGCTGGTCCCTCCTCACCAGCGGGTCCCTCGATTGCAGCTGAAGTAGATGCTCGTCTTAGTAGTGCTGCCAAAATGAAGCGTCCGGACCGCCGCAGTCCCTATGGCAGTGCAGGAGTCACCAGTTATCACTCGGGCTTTCTACGTGAGGACGACATAGTGTTCGATGGCGATGGCGCTGAACACTCTCCCGATCCCGACGACCTTCTGCCGCCTGGTGCGAGCTGCATGGATCTTCAGGTTCCCTGCTCAGTTCCACGCAATCCAGAAGCGCTTGCCCAATGGAGCCATGCGCAGGTTTTGCGTGTCGAAGACGATATTCCGACGGGTAGTCTCCGTGCATGCATCACTACGCTCTGTGAGCTACCGGTATGTACTCTGATCCTGAATTGATCTTATATGCTCATGACGGGCAGCTGGTTCACAATCACTTCTACCCTGCACGCAACTTCCGCAAGAGTGCTTCCCAGCTCAAGATTCCGCAAACGCTCACATGGGATGCTCGCTCTATGGCCCACCTCGTCAACACCGACTCCATGGATGTGGTTGGGCACTTTCTTCGTAGCTCCCCGTGGACGTTTGTGTACAAGGGTCAAACCTTGTTCGTTGGCATTGAGATGGCCTGGCTTATTATTCTCGCCTTCTTGCTATATGGCTACGGACTGCCACTTCTCACAAGCGAGCCCCCTGTCTCCTACGACGAGCTATCGACTATCACTGGCGCCTTCAAGTCGTTTCTGAGGGCTACGCGCACTGCGTTCAATTATCCCACTCATGGACCGAGTATCAAATACGCGATTGCTCGCTCTCGCGAGGGCTACCTCTACACCTGCCTTCAACACGTTGACGGACTTGTCAGACTTCTCAAGCTCACCATGCGACTGGTAGGCCGCATGTCTTTTTCATAGTGTCGTCATGATCTCATTGTGCTGTAGCCAGTTGCGCAAATTGACGTCGCAAGCACCATTGACTCGGGTGCCAACTTTCCGTCCTGGCAGTCACCTCGTGGCGGTATGCCAGATAGCATGCACAGCGACCCCGACATTGTTTCAACTCTCACAACGTGGTTCGAGGGTCCTCGCCGCCTTGTACATCCCGATGGCTTGCACCCTGTCAGCCAAGAGGAGGGACTACTTGTGTTGTTGAAGGTCACATTGATCCTGAGTGACCTTCAAGCGCTTCAGCGCGAGGACTGGGATGCGCAGGGCGTGCTACAAGGCTCACACCTTCGCTTTTCCGAACTTATACTGACGCTTCTCATTGAGGAGTGGGCAGAGAGGGAAGTCGACACCTTGGAGTCAGCTCTCGGAGAGGTCGGCGCGTCGGGCTCCCTGGATCAGAGCGCTGGGTTTATTGGAGATGTTCCCGGTGCGTCTGGCTGGGACGCGGCCACCGGGACTGGATGGACTGAATTTGGTGGGGTTGCGGCTGGTGGACCCGCCGGGGCTGGGGACTACGCACCCGGCGGGTCTGGAGAGCGCACACCCGGCGGGTATGTTGCGCAGGAGCCCGCCGGGTCGAGAGTCGACGTCGAAGTTGTGTCTGGGACATCGGGTACATCCGCACCCTCGGCCGCCTACAACCACGCGACTCCTCAGCACGTGCCAGTCGGACGTTCGCTTACTCACCACCGCACCGGACCGGGCAAAACATTGCCAGATCCTACATATCTCAAAGCCGCACAGGATCTACTCATCAATGAGCACTACATACAGGCAAATATTGCTAAGGTCGCTCGTATACCCGCCAATCCGCATGAGGAGCGTACCATGATCGCTTTGGAGGTTCAGATGCGGGCGAAGGAAGATGCTCAGCGTAACGCAAAGATTCTCGCGGACGCTCGCCATGAAAACCTTGCGCTGTATGGTACTTCCCATCGTCCTCCCCCTCCCAAGGCGCCTACTATGTCTCAGCTGCCCGAACTCCCACCCATCGCCCCCGACGTTGCGCAACAGCCAATCCCAGAGTCTACGGTACCCAAAAAACGCCGCAAAGCTGGGCCGACCGTCATTCAGGATATGGCAAAGGTGCCGAGGACGCGAAAGGCTGCAACGAAGAAGGTTAAGGCTGTTGGTACTCCGGCTGTGCGAGGACGGAAGCCTCTTGCCAAAGAGAAGCGTCCACTGGCAACGTCGCGCAAGCGCTTGGAGGAGCCAGACTCTGATTCCGCGGACGAGACTGATCTCGACGCAGAACCACATTCTGCTGAACCCTCCGTAAATCCAGTGAACATGGCAGTCACGCCTGCACCCGCCGGGTTTAACGGGCGGGGCCCATCAGCTACAGCAGAACCTGAGCCTCGTCTTACGCGCTCCCGCTCGTCCAAACGTCCGCGGGCTGATACTATTCAGCCCGGTACTGAACTCGCTCACCGACCATCGACACCAGTCACCCAACACCATCATCCCACACAACCTACCTCTCCATCTTCGCGTCCGCCGGTCTCTAAACGGCTGCGTGTGGAAGTTATGATGCCGCGCCCCCGCAGCGCCAGAACGACTCAAACTGCCAATGTACCTGCAGTTACTCGCCCCAAACCGCGTATGATACGTCATCGAAAGCGAAACATGGATGAATCGGAGGCTTCAATCCCCAAGGACTCGTGACATGTTGACACTACTGCATGTACTTGTGTTAATCGACTTTACGACGTTCCTCGCAGTGCCCCCCACCCATCCCCTGCATTACGATAAGACCGTGCTCATGTTCTATCGTAGACAGCTGCATGATGTCGTTCATTTGATTGGTTTGCAGACGAAATAAACGTCTATCCAGTGCATGTATTCCAGCAATAAATGCTGCGAGATTCCCTTCATCATCTGAGACCATCTGAGTACATGTCAGTATCCAGTGGTCATGTAAGTCAATAAGGCGTACCGGGACACCAATGTCACCACCAGAGTATCCTCGCACCTCCCTACATGCATCCCACGGTGTCCGGGGCCCGCCTAATGTTTGACTTTGAACCTCATTTAAGCAGTCGCGCTCATAGAACTCCCACCACAGAGGCAGCTGGATTGTGTGCTCTGGAAGCCGAGACCCGCCGGGTCCAGCAAATACCATCGCTCGTTCCTGGAGATCTGTCCAATCACGGGGCTCTTCGCCATCGATAACATCCTGCACTTGGCGCATAAACATCGAGTGGGGTGGGATTTGTCCATAACGCAATCGTGCATCACCAATAATGGCACGAAGCAATGCCTGGTAGACGTCAGGGACTGAGCTGTATTCCCCCCGATAATTGATGATCATTGGAATTGCAACATCTGCTGGGTCAAAATCGCCGATGACAGATTATCCTGTTGCAGTTTCCATGACCCTCAGACTATGCATCAAAGGGATCATCAAAGGAATGCATTAAATAGCCATATGTGCGACCTACCGGCTGAAAACGAGTTTATTACGAGTTTTTCTTCTGTTTTCGGCACTTTCCGACCAGGTTTCGCGGGGCTAAGTCGCGTGGCTGACGTTCCAGCAAGTCGGATGTGCCTGATGACCAATACAAAGCGCATAGATATAGCAGCTATCGCGTGCTCGTTGTGTGCCGCCCCGAGCGCGCCACTGTGCGCGATGAGCTCGAAGCCCCGCCCTCGTAGCCGGATGGACAAAAGAACAAGCCGATCACGCGAGGTATAAATAAAACGCATGTTTATTGCAGGTAAGTACAGGGTATACAACGACGCGAGGGAGAGACACGGCCACACTGGATGAACTCTGGGGTGAAGGGAGTGTCGAAGCGTAGTAAAACGAGGGCGGCGCGGTTGAGCGCGACCGCGAAGAGGCGCGTTGAACGTTAACAAGGCGAAATGAGACGAAGACGTGGGCGACATAATTAAGAACGATCGAGATAGTGTCCGAAACTTGCTGCGGCGACGCGAGAGTGGAGACGAGGGCGGCGCGGTTGAGCGCGACCGCGGAGAAGCGCGTTGAGCGTTGACGAGGCGGAGCGAGACGAGGTCGTAGGCGGCGCAGTTGAAGGCAATCGGCGACATGGTATGTTGAGCTTGCTATGATGCGGCAAAGCGGGAGTGGAGATAGAGGCGGCGAAGAGAGATCGGAGACGAGGGCGGCGCGGTTGAGCGCGACCGCAGGAGAGCGCGTTGAACGTTGATGAACAGAACGAGACGGAAACGGAGAACAACCTATTAAACGGTGGGGCATCAGTCGATGCCATTCACAATGATATGCGCGCACACGTACCTGACAGTCGCCTAACCAGAACCGGACGAAGTCATCTGTCCGAGGGCCCACGCGACGTCCTCTACCACGGACAGCGACTCACGTAGCGCTTTGTCGTTGCTCTTGGCTTGTGAGATCCACCAATAGCATGCAATGAGCACGATGAACATGCCATTGGCGCCACCTTTATAAGCTGTTTGCCAGTCCGCGTCGTTGGGGACCACACGGAGCAGCGGCCAATCTTGAGCGCCCCTACGCCATTCCGGCATGACGTGCGTGTACCACAGACGCATGTCCTCGCCGTACTCGACAAGATCCGAGATAATGGGTGGGCGGCCATACTTGCGGCCGCGCGCGAGCCACCATCGAACCGAGTCTGGGCGATCGTCGGTCGTGAGCTTGTGATTTGGATCCTAGGAAGTGATTAGGCGCATTCATTTTGGATAGCAGATGAAGGGCACTTACATGAGCCGCGGGAAACTGCAGTTGGATCTCAAGCAGGATCCAGCGACGCAGCGCAAGCTGCCAGTCTGGGTGCTCACTGGCACGCTCGAGCACCGCGATAGCGGCCACGATGAAGTCGTGCTGTCTGGGCGGGACGTCGCACTCAGCAAGTATCGCCAGCACGTTATCCATGTCCATGTCGTCGAAGTCCAGACGGGGTATATCCTCCGCAGCGTCCAGCTGCCCTGCCTCTCCACCCTGTTCTTGCCCCTCAACGCCTTCGTCCTCAACAACCCCGCCTTCGGCCCGTTCGCCCACACCTCCCTCGGCGCCCCCATCCTCGACGTTATCCACTGACCCACTCTCCTCCTGACGGCCCGCCGTCTGAGCGTTCCCGAATAAAACCTCTACGGTCTCGCCAGCCGTCCGGCCAGGCGACTCAGGTACAGCACTGGGCGGAGTGTCGACGAGGACAAAGTCACTATCGGCGTCGCGCTCGTTGCCTCCATCCGCCCGCGCGTTGTTTGCCGATGTGCCCGGAGTGACGAGTTCGGTAGCCGTCGACGTGATGCCTGCCTGTTGCTTGCGCATGGCCCTGGCCGCCTTCCTCGCTGCGGCCTTATCTGCGCGAGCCTTCTCAATGGTCTCCTGCTCGTTCTTGGCCGCTGACTCCGTCATGGCGCGCGTGAGAGCTGCGAAGAGGGAGGCCGGGTTGTTGAGCGGGCGCGAGGCAGGTGTTGGGGACTTGCGAGCGGCCTCGCAGTCGTACGCCACGGAGGGGTCACCTTCGATGAGGCGCATGGACGGTGGTATATCTTGGTACGATTCCAGCTCCGGTACGCTCTCGTAGTCGCTGACGTCCGTGGGCGCGGGGCCAGGCGCTGACATGTAGCCGTCTTCGTCCGTTTCCATGTCGACGTCCGTGAGACCTTCGAGAGCAGGCATGCTATCGCAGTCAGACGAGAGTTCGTTCAAACTGATAGACGTTCGTGTTAGTGAGAACTAAGAAATGAGCAGCATGATGACGTACGTAGTCGACATGGTTCGTGTCACTCGGCGAGGGCGAGGGCGAGGGCGAGAAAGACGGTTAGACGGGACGGGGTCAGCCAGCTCCGCATCGTCGTCCAGATCCACGCCAATGCGCTTCGCGGATTGATCGTTTCCGGCTACAGAAGCATCGGAAAGACGACGCTTGTTACGCAGACCGAAAATCTCGCGCTCCCGGCGAGGAATGGTGATTGCGCTAATAGAGCGCAACTGGGGATCGCCGTCAACGTCCATCTCGTCGTCAGACTCATCGTCGTCTGCGGGGTTCGGATCCATTGAGTCGTAATCCATCTCCTCCGAGTCTCCCTCCTCCCCCGAAGAGCTAGTGTCCGCTTCAAGGTCCTCCGAGGTCGCCCTAGCCTTGCCTTTACGCTTCTGTCGCCTAGTCCGAGCGCGATTTGACGTAGCACTATAGTTACCATTAGTCCTCACTTCAGAGTTCAGAAACCAATTTATACATACATCGCAGCAGGCTCTGGAGCATCCGTTGATGAGACGACCGTCTCAGAAACGCTAACAATGCCGTTAGAAGGAGTGAACTCCCGAAGAGATCGCGTACTTACTTAGGCGTGAGCGCAGTGGAAACCCGTGTCGCGGGTACATGCCGAGTAGCGCGCCCCGTGATACGCGTAGCAGCAGCGCGACGGACGTCCGGCGTTCCGACGATAGCAGTGCCAACCACGTCGTCAGCGGAAGGTAGAGTGAGACGGGAGTCGGCGGCTGGTTGTGTGTCAGTACTCGAGCTTAAGTTAGTAACACTGTCGGGCTTACGGTAAGCAGTGTCCAAGAAGTCATTGAACTCGCTGAGAACTGAGTCTTCAACAAATTTGACCTTGCTCCGCAGGAAAGTCAAGTCGGTAGACGGTCCTCCATGGAGACTAAACAAGATCAATAGATGACACGAGAGCTACAGAACGCGTACTCACTGTAGTACTTCGATAGAGCCGTTGGCTGATGGACGTGGGCCACCAGCGAAGACGCTAACAGACCAGCCGGTCTGCCAGACGATGCCATGGATCACTTTAGCAAGAGCGTTGCGCAGGCCGCCAATGGCCCTAAGTAGAAGTCAGAACCTCCACGTGAAGCGTGAGAAGAGTAAACGCACTTGTCGCGTTCGGCCAACTTCGCCTCTCGCACCTTGACGATCGCCTCCTCGAGCTCCTTGTTAGCTACGCTGATGATAGCTTCTTCTTCCAGGCGCTGTTCATGAGCGGACGCTGCAGCGGCCTCGCCTTCCCCATCGCCGCCTGTCCCCGCACTGGTCGCGGTCACGTGGGATGGAGCAGCCGACGCGCCGGCTACAGCTGACGAGTGGTCGCGCACGCCGAGCACACGCGCAAGGTCCCCGGGATCGCCAGAGAGCTCCTCGATTGATGTCTCGCTCAAAGTCTTGAAGCGCCTGACGTTCTCCTTGACGTTGTCGGGTGCGGCATCGTAGGAGTCGCGAATGCACTGCATACGCCAGGGAAGGGGATGAAGAACCTTCTCGCCCTCGGGTACGCCGGCCTTGTAGTCTTCGTACGTGCCCATGGTTGGCTCGACGGACTGGTGGAAATAGAGGCTCGAGTAGTACTGCCACTCGGGCAGCTTCTTGTTAGCGCGTACGAGCAACTTAACGGTTGTAGAGGTCTGAGACGTCGTGGCGGTTCCTGAACGGTCGTGGCGGCGTGAGTTTCGAAACCACTCGCGTAGCCGCTAGAGTGCAGCAACGTAAGTACTTCCTAAGCTATGAGGCGTGACGATAATAGTATTTACCTCGCGAATAGGCTTGGGAACGCCCTCGGGGCGCTTCATGCTCTTGCGGCCGCTCTTCGTACGAGCGCGTTCGAATACCTCCTCAGGTTGGTCGTCGTCGGGAAATAGAACCAGGTAAGCAGTGATCATGCGCTCCCAGAACTCGGAGAGTGTTCCATGGTCTTGCGCGAAGCGGTACTGAGCTAACCACTCGTACAGGAACTCCAGACGAGCGCGATCGAAGAAGCCGTTCGCCATAAGGATAGAGATGTAGAGATGACGCTCTTGCACCAGCAGCACGGCAGCGGTGGGGCGGGGGCGAGAGAGTAAGGAACTCAGTTACCGCCTCCGGGAGATTTATGCAATCCGCATCGGTCCATGTCCAGCTTCCCGGGTATGATCATTGCGAGTTGTGAACCCGTGGGTTCTGCGCCAACTCCTTGGTAAATCCCTCCGATTCCTTAGCTCGATCTCGGCGCTATGATTCCTCCAGTGCATGTGGCTCTTCGGACTTGGTTCTTCCGATGCCATCGTGCACGAGCGCGGTTCTCAGGAGCAATGATACTGCGCCGGTTGGTACTTTACCCGCGACTAGCGCTTTTCTTTCCTTCATCCCCCCGTCTACCTTCACTTCATCTCATTTCCCTCCCAGTATGGCCAACCTCAACGCCAACATACCTAACCACCCCGAAGTTATCCTCAGTGAGTCCGACGACGACTATTCGTCTACTTCTCTGATACTTGACTAGCTCCCATGAGTATCCAGGCTCTCCTCGACGCCGCGGGCCCTCCTCAGCCGGCTGTGCCTGTCGCCGCCGTCCCGCATCTTGCGCAAGGTCAATTCTATGGAGTTATTTCGCCGGATGGCGGTGCCCAGGTCTTTAACAACCAGTAAGTTGACCTCTTCTCTGTCAGACGAGACATTACTGACTACTTGCAGGGCAGACGCGGATGCTGCTGTTATAGGTGTCAGCGGTGCGACACGTCGTGCCTTCGGGGATGCTTGGAGCGCTCGTCGCTACGTTGTGCAACACGCGTTGTCCTCGTTCCCTCGTGCTATTTCCGCCCAGTACCGGCTATACTCTCGCCTGCAGGAAGGCGTGGCCAGAGCCGGACATTTCATGACCGCCTTCACCAGCAACCCTCTGCTTGCTATCCCAGACAACCAGCATACCGCCATGCCCAGCCCTACGATCACATTCACCCCTCTCAACTTCTTGCCTTTTGTCCAGACGCCTGCGTCTCTGCGCGCCAACGTCGGTGGATGTCGTGTAGAGATCATTTTTGTGAGTCTCTCGTGATCTATGTCTGTATTAACATAGACATTCTGACATAGTGCCAGCACAACATGCCAAGTCGTGTGGATGCGCACAGCATCAACACGGAAGATCTCAGGTTCCGCGGCGTGCCCGGCGACATTCCCTCGGGCCCGACCATCCCTTACGGGCCTGAGCGTCAGGGCGGCGTTGCCAATGTTCGCGCCGAGTTCGTGGGCGAGGACGAGGTCACCCGTGTCGTGCCTCAGTCCATTCTTCAGGTTGGCGACGGTACAGTCATCCCACCTCCGCTGGACACCATTAAGGAGATGCTCGTGGTACCTTTGACGCCTCGGTCACGTCTTCCCGGGATATACTACTGGGTTATCCTCCAGGGTACCGCTGTCGGTATATTCAGGGGTAACGCGTGAGTGCCGTCGCACTGCCATTCGCTACCGTTGCTCATCCTTCACTATGTAGCCGCGACATTCAAAGCATCCTGCCCGCGGGATTAAGTGTTGCGAAGGCGTTCCTGACGCTCGAGGAGGCGTCTGCCTTCTTCTACGAACAGCTCGATTCTGGCTTCGTTCTGACTGAGCTCACTGAAGCGGCCGACGCCGACGCTACGCTTCACTCCGCGCTTGGACGGGCGCAAGAGGAGGCTCAGGCTGAAGGTGATCCGGCTAAGGTCCAGCTAGCAGCGACCCTGCAGAACATTGTACGCCCCTTCGCTGATAACGCCGTGTAGTGTAGTTCTCGTTCTATACAGTTGTGATGCTCGCTCCAAGTCTTCTGATGTATTTTTGTGTTCCTATCAAGTATCCGAATCTATGCGATGTTTATACCCTTTCCCGTTCCTTCCCGTTGGAGAGAGTCTGATGTGGTAAGCATTGGTTGTGTTAAGCTCTCACTAAACAATCTGCCTGGGCTTCTCATGCTACCGTCAGTTCTGATTTGCGTTGATAGAATACGGCCTCAGGCTTCCGAGAAGTCATCACGTCTTGGGCAGCATGCGAATTTTCTTCCGTCGGTCCAAGAGCCCGCGGAGATACACAACCCATCAGTCCAGCCGTTCCTGTTATGGCGTATCACATCTTTACTGATAAGCGTATACATGATCGCATTCAGGTAAACAATCTACGCTACGCGGGCTCCAAGAAATATCCCCGACACTATCAGGCCGCAACAGGCGCCGTCGCTTGCTCCGAGTCGTCGCTTGGCTTGGCGAATACGGCACGCGATTGCTTCTGCACCCACGCGAACATGCGCTACAAGATATGAGTACACATGCCCAAACATTACGAGGCCTAGATGACATACGACAAGAGCAGCGAGGATAGACTGCCAGATACCGCTGCGAGCGGCAGCGGGAGCGGCGACAGCCTGCTCGAGCGCCGCGAGCTGGTTGGCGTTCTCCTCGTCGACAGACAGGCGATTGAGATACTCCCTCGTAATGTCGGTGATGGTATTGTACCAGTCAGTCTCAGCTGAGCGACGGATAGCCTGCGCCTCGACGAATGCGGGCATCTGTTCTTCCAAGAAGGCGCGACGTTGGGGGTCGAAGAATTGGCGCGGGTTGCGGACAGTGGCCTCTCCGCTCGAGATAGAAGGCGTGCGGTACCGCGACTGGGGCGAGGGAGTGAGGCGCTCGGACAAGTTAGACATAGAAGACTCGCGCCCGCTCGTAGCGTTGCTCTGTGAATGAGTGTCAGCCTCAGATAATGTGGTATCCAGGGGCGGCTCAACCTCCAGCGAAGAGGAACGCGAATTTGGGCGCGTCATTGCAGGGCGTTTTTCCATGTCGATGGTTAGAGCAAAGTGGTGGTTTGGATAGAGTGTGATGAGTAGACTAGTTGATATTATATGAGGCTCCTGTTGCTGTCCGGCGGTCCTTCCGTCAGTTCGGTGGACTGGGTGGTGGTGGCGTACAAGAGAGGAGGTCACGAGCGTAGCCGAACATCGCATGAGAATCCGGCTCAATTCTATGCAAGGTTAAGCGCTCACTATGATATGCGAGAGCCTATTGGTTGAGTTGTATGGGCGCGAACGTCGCGTGGCAGGAGTAGCCCCTATCTACTTCCTCAAACCGACGGTCAGGCTCGTCAATCGCAACCGAGAGCACATGTTTCAAACTTCTTGATGCACACGTCGGACGCGCAGCGGACAGCGTATATCAAGTCCGACAGTCATGAATACCTCAGGCCTATAGTGTATCGTATCTAGCAAGAATCGACCACACGCTATAGGCAACAGAGGACAATCGCATAGGGCGAGAACACCATTGCAGCGCAAGTTCTGCGAATGTGTTAAAGTCATTTCGTGGAAACGAATATATTGACATCTCGCCTAGTGTGATGCCTTGTATTGAGTTGAGGATGTTGGGGCGCTCTTCGGCCGGTCGGCGGCCTGTGTATGCTGTAGCGGTGCCGCAGAAGGGTACCCAAACGTCTCCGGCTGAGAGCCACACTTGCAGCAGATATCGTAGCTCAGGACCATGGGTCTCGAGAAAGTCGAACTACAGCAAGCGCATCAGTAATCGAGCGCCACAATCTGGCAAGGCTCACACACATTGCTTGCGCTACTGCGGAATATTCCTCACTCGCACAGACAGCATATACAGGTGCCGACATAGCTATGGGCGAGTCGTCTCGATGAACAGGCTGGACGGCCTTTTGTAGCCGTGGAAGCAATGGTTGATCCGGTCTTCTGCACATCAAAGGTGCGGGTGCCAAAGCATATGGTTCGCTGGTCACGTCAGACTGTCTGAGATAACCTAATCTACGGCAGGTCGTCGACATCGGAGTCGTCTTCGACACCTTCAGCAAACAAAGCGGAGACATCTGAATCGCGACAACAATCGCCGGAGAGAGCTTCTTCGACTTGCAGTGCATATCTTCGGAGTGATCCCGGTCCATCATTCGTGACAGCAGCGCCATGCTTCCCCAGAAGCTCTTGCGGTGTCCACCACCCAAAGCGAGCAGTGAACGCGCGTTGCTTCAGGCTAAACGCATCTGAATCAGCCACGTTGTTGGAAGATGAAGATGAAAGGAGCACCATCTACCGAGCGCTATGAACGCGCGGTCAGCACCGACCATACGGGACTGAGCATCGTCCATGCATAGAAGTTCTTGTTCTTGATGCACTACGCCCATAAGACGTCGAAAGCCGTGTAGAGCGAGGGCTTTGCTGTGCCCGCACTCATCATCCTCAGAGAGCATCTGAAGTGCCCGCGACTCAAGCTCGTACAATCTGTCGTGAAGATATGAGAGATATATGCAATCGCCATCCTGCCAGTCCGCAACAGAACGCATGTGGAGTCCATGTAATTCACGCCAAAGCTGGAGCTCGGCGTCCTCCATCGACGAAGTGCGCCATCTATCCGGTTTTGATTCTCGGAGAACGAGAGAGAAAGAATACTCCCTGGTGGTTAATGTTGAGCATTCAATTGAACACACACTGAACGAGACGAACGCACTTGAAGTATCCGCGACGGATGCCTAACTCCCGGTCTCGTAGAGTCGATACCTCAGGGGCACCTAGTCTGCGACCGTGCCGCCCTTTGGAAGCTGGAAGTCGCGTATTTCGAACCTTCCGTATCCGAAACCCGTCAGAAGGGGCCGATCTTATGGAGTCTTGGTACGCCGCGTAGGCTGCTTGTGGCCTGCAATTGTTGAGCAACAATTAATTTGAGCATAAAATTGCTCACGTAGAGTAGTGTTCGAGACATCGGTCTTTGTTGCACATGAGAGGGATGATATAGATAGTGGTATTATAATGAGACGGGTGGTAGTCGTGGTGCAAGTGAAAACCGCGTCGAGACTCGAGTCGCGTCGAGGCTTCAGACGCGCGCGCTCACGCTCGGTCGCGTATTTCAACGTCCAGGAGCCATTGCCACAGACTGAGCCGCTTCGGACTCTTGAAAAGTCAGAATCGTAAGCGGGCTGCATATCTGGCTTTGCATATCCAGTAAAAATGATAGTCTGGTTGAGTCTTATCTATGCACCGAGGTAACAGTCTCTACGGAGCCACACGGCCTTGTTGCAGCTTGGTGTCGTAGCGAAGGCTTCTGTAGGTATCGTTGACTTAGTTCGTATCATTCATACGTTCATCTCGCTATCAGGACAATGTGCGGGTATTCAAGAAGAGGCGTGCATTGCAAGCAAGTACATATTCTGATACATACAGTCATAAGGCTAGAAACATTACATCGCTCGCAAGCTCAAACAGACTACGCATACACAATAACCTGCCCAGCCTCCCTCAGGTCAACCCATGCTTTCAAGGCCATTTCGTACGTATGAAATCCTGGTGCTATAGCCTGCCGTCCGCTTGGGGCATTTGCCGCCCTAACCTCCTCCCTGAATGAACTCTCAGTCGACATGCAGTACGAAAAGACGGAGTATGATTACCATGACTTGTAGATCCCAGGGTATCTGTGCTTGTAAGCGACATACCATTCGGACCGAGAGACGCCCGGAGAGAGGACATCGGGATGAGGAACCCGCGGGACGAAAGACGTGCCGGCGGATTGCGGAGGCGTAAACTCGTTTGGCGGCACCCAGCCCGCGGGAGCAAATCGCGGGCGGTGTGGCTGAGACTGGTAAACGCGCGAGTTGCCCTGGCTGTGGATTGGGTTGTTAGGCCCAGCGGGGAAAGGCGATATGGCGTTGATCGCGGCAGGCGAAGAAGATGGTCCGGCCGGAAAAGGCGAAGGAGAACGAGAAAGATCAGCTGGTGAAGGCGTAGAGGGAGGGCTGCCAGGTACGGGTGAAGAAGGGGGTGTGTGAAGAGACCCCGAGATTGAGATTGAGTCCGTACGGTGCTGCGTGGGCGCCGGCGAGCTGGCTTGGGCTGATGCACGCGCCGCACGAAGAAGCCTCTCGCGCAGCGTGCGTGTAAAAGCCATGCGCTACACATGTACACTTAGCATACAGTTGTCATCTGGCGCTCCCCACGAACCTCTTCGACCGGGGCAGTGCCCAGCTGGGCTATCTCGTTGCCCGCGGCTATGGCGCGCCGCCATCGACGATATGCAGCCGCAGCCGTCCGGTATTTGATGACCAGAGATCCGGATATACGATGAGTAGAAAGCATAGCGTCCAATCTACGTACGTTGAGGTACTAAGTCGCGGAGCTCATGGAAAGGCCAGTCACAACACTTACTTGTCCATAACTCCGGGCAAGTAACCACGCAGAACGACATACCTTCGCTCCTCTGGAGCGGACCGAGAAGAGAGACCTCTGTTGTTGTCAAAGTCCAGAGGCATCTGCTGGTCAGAGTCAGTCATGGTGGTTCTAGCGAAGATACAAACGCGCGCGGGCCATCTACTTTGGTGAGGGAAAGTGATGGCGCGCTCGTGAGAACGACATCGGGCCGGTCAACCGCGAACTTGGACTTCGTGGCGTTCAACGTCCCTTCTCTTGTCTCCTACCTTCATTGCCAGCAATGACAGTCTCGACGGACACTTAAAACGATAACATAACTGGGCAATTGCACGTTTACTCTGGGTTGGTGGTAGGAGATGCTCACCGACCGACATCACGTACGATGTACGCTAGGCGTTTCTTGGTCCGAACACCGCACTCACACATACAAGTCCATCAGCGATTGATGTAGTCTTGTGAGATATTGCCCTGGTCTATCAAAGGAAGATCAAAAGGTATGCCCCATGCGCTTGTCTGCTCCCAAATACAGTACCTCGGCTCGTTAGTGTGTACGGCAACCCTTTCGACTCTGTTCGAGTCCCTTGAGGTCTCCGGACTGTACCCCTACCTACTACCGCCACCACTTCCAGAATGTCCTCTCACCGGACCAGTCAACGTGGCCGTGGTGGGCTTCCGCCTGTGCGTAGGCAGAAGATATCCTCGGCCTCCTTCCAACGGCTGGCGCGACTTTTGGAGCAGTACGACAACCCGCCTTCTGACGCAGCTGCTTCTGCCTCGCAACAACGTATGTCTGAAACTACGACCACTCCCAGCGTCAGTTCTTTGCCTCCTTGGTGTTTTGCTTTATCACTTACTGACGTAGCATTGCCTGCTTATAGGAATCGACCTCATCGACTGCTGCCACAGCTTCTACGACCATACCAACCGCTTCATCTGTACGTTCCTCGCTTTATGCGTATCGGCGTATCTGACTGGATCTCTTAGCAGCTCGCTAAGTCGGCGCATCCACCTGCTGCAAGGACCGGGTCTCTAGCTGAGTCAGCGCCAACGGTGAGGGTACAATATACAGTTACTTGATGAGAAGCTCATCAAGTGCAGAGCACTCCACAGATGCCTCGACCTGAGGGTTTCCGTCGACAGACGGAGGTGGTTGTCGGTGTGCTAGACGGCAAGACGGCCACCAAGCGCAAAGTCGTTCCGGACACGCATACGCCGCAGAGCGCCGGTTCCGGCTCCCATGCGGCGCTAGATATCAACACGAAAGACTCCGAATGGATGGATGTTGATACCGGCGCTAGCGAGACAACCATGGAAGAGCCCGAACATCCATCAAAGCGCGCGCGGGGCACGAATGCCGCGACATCATCTACCACTGGCAAGGTATGCTCGAGCATACATGAATAGGCCCGCTGGCATTGACCATACCTACAGAAGGATCCTCTTGAAGTGCTCAAACATAAGCGAAACATCTTGTTACGAGAGATGGTGCGCCAGGACGGTCTGAGAGGCATCGAGCTGCGTGCGAACGGGTTTCCCCCATGTGCCCGATGCGAAGACGCGGACGGCCGCGTGGAGTGCTTGGACTGTTTACGGCCTGGATTATACTGTTCATCATGTATCAGCCAACTGCACGAGTATGAGCCGCTTCACACTGTTCACGTGCGTACTTGCAAACGCCAATGCCTCGACGTCGGCTTACGTCACAATCACAGGAATGGAACGGAGACTTCTTCGTCTCTTCCTCGCTCGAGAAGGCTGGCCTGGTTGTCCAACTGGGACACGATGGCGGGCCGTGCGCTCATCGCGAGCTTCAAGACAGTCTCCTCACCGTCATCGACCAGAGCGGAATACACCGCGTACGCTACGCTCTGTGCAAGTGTTACAGGGAAGGTGCTTCCGAACCAGCAGTTCAGATGATGCGTGCGCGCTGGTGGCCGTCTACTTGGTCAAGACCCAAGACCGTAGTCACTCACTCCACCCTCCGCTTGTATCATGCGATGGCGATGCAAGGAAAGATCAACATGTACGACTTCTATAATGGGATCGTGCGTATCACGGATGGTGTGGTCAGGGTCAAGGTATGGCACTGCAGTCTTGTTTCAAACGGGATGCGTGACTAATTGGTATGGCAGTCTAGCTATAAAGCGTTTGTGCGCTGTGTTCGTATGTTCCGCCACCTCCGGCAGGCCAAACGCGCGGGTGTCGCCCAGATGCCGAACGGTGTAGACGACGTGAAGCCCGGTGATACTGCGCTACCCTGTCCAGCTTGTCCCCGGCCCGGCGTCAATCTGCCCGACGGTTGGGAGAACGCGCCGCCAGAAGAGAGGTCAGTGAGCCTATTTCACACTGTGTGTTGCATGAACTCATCATATGGTTTCAGGTTTCTATATGCGCTCTTGATCGCCATCGACGCCAACTTCAAGTTGAAGATGAAAGACAAGGGCGCTAAGAACATCGAGTTGGGCGACGGATGGTCTTTCTTCGTGGGGAACGAAGAATACGAAGAGCATCTGAAGAACAACACTGACTTAACGGAGGTGGATACCCGTGTTTCGAACACGCTTCGATCCAATGCTAACGTGCCCGCAGATGAAACAGTGCGAATCAGAACATAACGCTCTGCGTAACGCGAATATGGCAACCTCGAAGCGTTGGGCAGTCAACGGTGTAGGCGTCGCCATGTGCGCCCGGCATCTCCTTTATCGCGCGCAGGGTGTTGTTGATCTTCCACGCGGCGAGAGGTATGCTTCACCGTAATACTCATTGATGACTGCGAGCTGACAGAGAATAGGTTCGCATGCATAGACTACGGGGTCTTCTCGATGCTGAGAGCGACCGCGAAGGACATCAAGACTCTGTTGTTCTCGTACGACATATCCTGCTCTTGGTCGGTCAACTTCCACACCCGGCTCACCTCCTTCTACAACCATCTCTATTCCCTTCCCGACGACGCTATGGTGACTTTTGTTGTCCCAAAATTCCATCTTGAGGTACACGGCGAAGATTGTAAGTGTGCGTTCAATCTGAATCACACGAGCGGGGCGGGAAGGACTTGTGGCGAGGGCGTTGAGGCTGGTTGGGCGGATATGAACGCCACTGGCGTATTCACGCGCGAGATGAGCCTGACCCATCGGCACGAAGTCATCGACGACTTCCTGCAAGCGATCAACTGGCGCAAGATCAAGACTATGGGTATGTAATAAACCTCCCTTCTGATATCTTCCTGAACGCTAATGCAAACCTCATATAGATCGTGCTCTGCTTAAACAGCTCGAGGAGGCGCTGCCTATGGCTGCGCGCCAATGGTCGATCTACGAGAAGATGTGCAGGACGGTAAATAAAGAGATTTTGGACGGCTGGGAGGCGATGGTGAAGAAATGGGATGCGGAACCGGTGAAGAAGGGTAAACCCAGTCCGTATCGTGTACCTGTTCACAGTACGTTCGCTCGCACGGCTTACGAATGGCATTGGCTGATTCCTTTCTAAGCCCGTACCTTGGCGACAGTAAGGAAGGAGCTCGCGCAGGAAGAGAGCGAGGAGATGTCAGAGGGTGTGTCGCTTCACGAGATGACCGCTAGCGCCTACATCTCGAGTGTATTCACCCTGGAGGACCAAACGTGCGTTGCGTGACACTCTACTTGACAATGAACTGACCCTTTGTTTAGTTATGCTGTCAACCTGCGCTCTCAGAAACAATATCAAACAGATCAAGAGGAAGCGACGATCCAGGTGAAGCGCAATAAGCTTCACCATCGCGCGCAGGCGCTTGAGGGAGCTCAAAGCTGTTACGTCCAGGCGGCAGATGGTCTATTGGAACGCGTCGAAGGTTTGTGCTATAGACTCGCACGTCTTGGCAGCTGTATTGACGTGCGTGACGTCATTAGCTCAAGTACACGAGGGCGCCCTCGTGCTCCCTCCTCTCAAACTCTGCTCGTATTCGAAGGCGCGACGCGGTAAGGTGCCGGCTGCGCCGCGCGCCGCAGGCGCCGTCATCTTGTGGCTACCGTCGAACATCCCGCCCAATCTCCGTGGCTCCCTGTGTGTTTCCGGTATCGCACTCAAGGAGATCAAGATGCGAATTGCCGTGTGTCAGGACTGCCTCCATAACGTACGCCGCGCTCTTCGCAACGCACGCGCCTTTCAGCTCGACAAGAAGAAGCTTGGGCACGCAAGTCAGCGAGCTTCGACGCGTAACGACACCACTTACAAGGGTATCGCGGACAATCTGAATCGCCATGTCGCTCGTTATCGACGTTCCTACGACGCGCTTCTCGTTCTGGATCCGGAAGATACCTGCAACTGGCAGGATACACTGCAAGAACTCAGGAAGTCCGACCTTCGATCTCCCGTTGACGACGAGGAGCAGCCGATATCAGTCGACGACCAGGCCTCCCGTCCAGCTCAGTCAAGCGAAGGGCGGCGAATTTCCACATGGATCTGGCTCGTTCAAGAGGTCGAGACGCGAGACGTTCCAGGTGCACGCAGCAGTGAGGATGCATACGAACGTGCGTCATCAGCCCATTGATACTTTGCTTGATGCTGATTTTCATCAGATGTTCGTGTCGAATGGGCGCGAGCCCGTTCCCGCGCGTTCCGGTGGCGCGAAGAATGCTTATTGGTACTTGAAGAGATGCGGCGAGTAGTGTGGTCGCATCACAGCACTGCGAATGACTGGCACCGCCGCGCCGCTGAGGTGGATAGCCTTCCAGGCATTCTTTCCGACACGCGAGCTGGCCTCCGTGCTCACGCCCTTCGACAAGCGCAAGTGTACACGACGCTGGCCGTGAACTCCGTTAACTGTTGGACACCTTACCTCACGAAACAGTCGTTCACGTTGGCCTGGCCGAAAGCTGTCCTGACTGAACCCGGTATCGTGCAACGAGGGGCCCTTGCTCTTGCCGGCGGAGGGCCAGCTCCGACGTTGTCCGAGGCAGCGCCCGGTTCCTTCGCGGAATCCGCGATCGGACTACCCGCCCGGGTCTCGCGCGGGTCCGGTTTGGTCGAGAACGATGCAGACGACGAGGACGAGGACGCTCCTGTCGACGACGGAGGCCAGGAAGACTCTGAAAGTGACGGGGAAGACGATGCGCGACGGTATGCGTCTGACGACAGCGATGATGAGGGACGAAACGATTTCGGACACTTACATTTGAACGGTTGATAGACTTACTAGCTCATGTACTATTGATTTATACACGATTGGAAGCATCTAAGAGCTCAGCCACGAGCTACCGGTATAACGAAACAGAGATAAGCTCGCAAGAACCGTATTTTGACTTGGTGCGTTCGCGAACTCGACTTGTGCGCGACAAGCGGACTGGGGTCACGTGACACCAACGCGACTTGTTGAAATCCCAAATTGGCGCGGTGCAGTCGGCGCGGCGCTGGCTTTGCAAGAGCGATGCGCTCGATAGTCACGAGGGATATATTTGTTTAATGACATAGTAGTGACAACGTGAAGGACGCATAGGGAGTTCTAGAATATAGGTTTGTCGGAGATGAAGTTGGGGGGCGCGAAGGGAACATTATGAGACTTGAAGTCGAGAGCGTAGGTCAAGGAGAGGAGCATTGCGAGGCCGCGGGCATTTTGCTAGGCATCGGTATCAGAGCGGCTCAATCAATAGCAGGAGGAAGACGCACCGAATATGCTCCAGTGACATTGAACCCCTCTGATTAAACCTGGGCTCCCCAGTCGACGACGGCGGCATGCGGAGCCAAGTCCGTCGCCATCCCGTACCACGAAACCTCAGAATTAAGGGCTAAGTTTGGTGCCAACCACGGATCTGCATAGCCAGTTACTTGTGTGCAGTGTTGGGATACCATTCGGTATTCTGGTGTGGGGTGGTGAAGTGCGACAACGGCGGCGGGGGCG